TAAATCTTGGGATTAGAGAAAAAATTTTCATCCCTCAAATGTGTAGCTTATTTTGAGGAAGTACATAGAATTATAAATCAAGCATGAAAAACTATTGGTCTTTGGAGGATTGTCAAACTAACAAGAAAACATCCTTCTTCCCCAAGTATCCTGACATATCTGACAGATTTTTCATCATTTCACGAGATACTTTCGAGTATCAGTGGCTATCACTGTATTCTCTCAATCTTTTGACAGAAATGATGAATCAAAGAATGTCAAACCGAATGTTTGGAGTAAAAAAGATGCATCACCAGTCACCACCACTGACTTCCCAATGTGTGGGATGGCAGATTGAGAGAAGAACTTTAGTAACTCCACAATCTAATTACTGTCAGCTGGAGAGAAAATATTTTCATTTGCAGAGCCAAGTATCCACAGATAAGTATCCACAGATAAGGCACGGCCAGAGGCTAAAAACAGGCTTTCAGGACAAAGAAAAGGGGGGAAGAAGAGGGCCAATGGGAAGAAAGGAGTGGAGGTCAAATGGGATATAAAACAGATGTGTGCAGACGTACACAAGAAAACCATCTGGTGGACACAAAAGTTTAGAGCACAATGTCAGCCAACACCCACACATTCTGCTCTCCATTTTAACTTCACCCTAATGAATTCATTCACATAAACACCAGCGTAAAATACCACATTAACATTGTTTTTGATACTGCGAGTTAAATGTAACACTTTTAAAGGGCTCGGTCCCACTGCAAACAGAACTCAGTACATCTGTGGGGGGGATTAGGGTTGTTGGTAACAATAACCATTTTACACAAAAGCCATCATTCAGATATATATATACCGAAATCAATGCAATATGTAAATTTACAATTTACACACAAATGTGTGAATTCCACTAGACTCCTGTGTGTTTGCAGGAGTTTTTCCCAAGGGCGTAGGTTTGCATAGGGTCCATAGGGACTAGTCACGACCAAAGTTTGGGAAAGACACAATTGTCCCCACCAATATTTTGTTAATTTTAATTGCCTGTTAGAAAAAATAAGCAGACACTCAGATCTCCGTGGTCAACTCAGCAGACACTTACACTTTAGTGCACCTATATGCTGAAATTCACGGTAAACGCATTCAAACGGCACAGATCGGGAGCGAACGAAGGACTTTGAAAGATAGCGGAAAGATTAACGTGAGACAACATCCGGTTTCTTCAGACGGACATCCGGTTTTCAGAATAAGATGCCAACAAAGTATGAATTATATTCACATTAAGTATAAAACATGCTGCATCTCGTGAGTTCAAGGGAAAATACACCTAAATTGTGCGTAAAGTGTCTTTATTCTTTGATCGCTGGGTAACCATAATTATCTTGGAGTTACAGCATTATATTGATGAACAGTAGAGCTACATTCACATGCTCTGACTGTCATGAAGACAGACATTTTTGCTGAAATGTGCTGAAACATTTTATTCCTGTTTCACAGCAGTGGAACGTTTCACATACAGTCACACACTGAGCACAGATAGTGAAGAGATAGAACTGCTACTGTGTAAAGGGAATACTGCTGTTAAAAATAACCTTATTTGTTTAAAGTGTTTGCAAACCAAATGTTATTGCCCTTTTGTTCATATAGCAGTACTTTTAAAATAAAAGTGTACAATACACTACTTTTGAATTCATTATTGAACTTTGCCATAACAATGAGATTAATCGCAAAAAATCCATGCGATTAATCGCGATTAAAAATTGTAATCGTTGCCCAGCACTACTAATAATTGCATAAAGGAGGAAAGCACTTTATTTATAGCCTATTAAGTGCTGCAGAATAGATTTATTTTTATTCTTTTTATTTTTTTTGTCCTTTTTTGGCTGCACAACTGGGAAAAATTTTTAATATATATTTTGGATATAGAATATACTGTTACTGTATATTGGCATTTTAGCAGAACGTTTTTTATTAATTTATTTAATTATTTATTATTATTATTATTTATTTGGTGGAGAATACTGTTTTGTATTTAAACTAAGGTTTTGTTACTGTTATTATGTTTAAATCAGTTCCAAGTTACACAAATGTTAATATATTTTCATAAAGTTTGCCTGTTCAACATAATATCAACCAGGGGTGTCGTTAGGCCTATTTGAGGGGGGCTGAAGCCCCCCTCAAATAGCCCCCCTCAAATGTTCTTCAGCCCCCCCAAATAATGGCAGTGTCCCTACCAATGCTGAGACCAAACCTACGCCCTTGGTTTTTCCCCATCAAGATTGGGTTTAAACATGACCTCATTTCTCTCATTTCTAATTTCTCAGTTTATCAAATTGATATTTTTCAATTACAGTTAACAGCTGAGGAAAAATCGGTAAGTTAATTCAGTATAATGCTGCGTTCACACCAAACGCGTCGCGAATTCATCGCGCCGCATATTCACGTCCATCGCGCCGCCGGTCAAAACGCCGGGGACCAAGTGTTCATTCACGCGAATCGCGCTGGACGCGCCGGAGAGGGGGCGGGGCTTATCGCCCTGAAAGCCGTTCAACTGTCCGCCATTAACCATGGAAAAAATAACCTATATTTCTGCTTAGTATGTGTTGTGGAAGTCACAGATATCCCGGGAAACTAAACGCCGTCATGTCTGGGTTCATAATATTGTCCAGAGGAGCTCCATGGATTTTATCGAGCTGTATTTACTGTGTCTAGCAAGCCACACGTCGCTGTTTACTACAGCTGTACACACACACATTTATACACATAGTTTGGTCCGGTCTCTATTGATATGAGGTATCGTAGAGCTCTGGGTGAATACAGACGGCTACAGTATTTATTTCCTGATTCAACAACGGCAGGACGTCACTGATAACAGGGGGAGCAACTCAACGCTGATAGGCTATCGCGCCGGGGTGTATCGCGAATATTTCGCAGAAGTTGAAAAATTTCAGCTCGCGCGTCGGGGCGATTTGGCGTTTGAGGCGGATTCGCGTCCATCGCGCCGCAAATTCACGTCCATCGCGACGCGCCATCGCAGATTCGCACCGCGACAGTCTCATCGCGTCTGTGCATAGACTTTGTATGTAATCTACTCGCGCGAATAATTCGCGATGCGTTCGGTGTGAACGCAGCATAAGGCTTGCTGTGGCTTGCTCCCATGCTTTAGCTGTCTAAACTACTACTGTGATATTGCTATGCTAGCTGTCAATTCTGATTTTGTGAGATTAAAAAATTATAAAATGTACCAATTGATTTGATCAAATTCTGTGAAGATGAGTCATCCAAAATATTCGTACGTTTGTTATTGTTTTGATATTAGAAGTCGAATAGATAGCCAGAAAAGACAAGCGCTAACTCTGAGGACACTTTTTGCTATCTTGCACAGAAAAGTCTTGATGACAATCTTTAAAACTTTAACGGGAAAAAGGTGTTATGGATAAACAAGGTAAGAAGACATCAGTGGTGTGACGATACATTGTCTATTTAAAGCCCTGTTCAACCACAAAGTCAATAAGACAGCTCCAAACTTCGCTAGGCCTCTTCAAGGCTGATATAAAACAAATGGGTGTATACAGTTAACTAAGCCGAAAACTTGTGCCAGCAAAAATAGAAAATACCACAAACTAACATTATCACTTGAAGTATCAGTACCAAAGCATGCAGGGGTTCAAGTGTTTACACTCTCAGATACTAGCAAATAGACCCAGAACCGTAACATTACTATGTGCTTTCATTTATGTCATGATATATTTCTAAAGCAGTGTTTCCATTCTATTTGCAAGTTTATTTCAAGCAAACTTTGAAATGTCGCTAAAAAGGGATGTGAATTAGTCCCGTTTCCTTCAACTGCGTGGCTTCAGAGGTTGTTGCTTTAGGCTACGCATGGCTGTAATCCACCAGTTAACAAGGTAGAAGAAGAAGTAGAAGCTGGTAACCCGAGACAAAACAAGTCGCCATGGCCAACCAATGTACGAGAGAAAGATTTATTGAATTTTGCTGTTTCCATAGAGCTTTTATATACTTTGAAATTTGCATTAAACTATATCAATGGAAACATGGCTTGTATTAACTGATACAACATAACCATTGTTACCAACCACAGAATGGCAACAAATGACTCTTGACTCAAATGATGAGTTTATCTTCTTTCTAACAATCACCAACTCTGGTTTGGTCGAAACAAACCCTTTTAACGCTGTGCTGGATGTGAAAATATGCGGCTGAGCAGCTGTCATTCTTCAGAGACAGACGATTAGATTAGCAAAACATCGCCCAAAAACCTAACCGGCAATGTCCTCAGCCAATCGCCCATTTCTTCGTCTAATCCCCCAACCCTATCACCAACCATGCACAAACAGGACCACTACCAGAGCCATGTTGAGTGAATGTCCTTGAAGCCTCTATTACAACACTGGGGGGAAACTATTTTAATGAAGACTTTTGTAATCTGGTTTCTGAGCCTCAACTGATGTTTACCCAGAGCCACTCAATGAGGTGGCTCTGGGTCAGAGGGAGTTGACAGCACTGTAGAGCTCCCTGAAAGCAATTAGTGGCTTCCTCCAACGCTCAGGACCAAAGCCAAAGGCCTTTCAGTTACTGTAATCTGTCTCTTCTTATGATGGATGTACTTAAGAATGTGGTCCTTCTCTCAAAACACTGTAGAAGAGAAGACCACAGTGAAATCACCGGTGCGAGTAACCAGAAGCGCTGAGAGAAATAACAGCCCCCGCTGCAGGAACTCTTCAGCTGTTTACACTTTAAACAAACTGTGGTGCATTTAGGAGCTTCCAAGTTAGCTCAGCTGTGCTCCATTCCTGTGGTTGCTCCGCTGTCAGAAAGAGACAAAACACTTACTTCCAGCACTAAAAAATGAACGACGATGTGAGGTCACATGGATCCGTAGGTGCTCTACGGCATGGAGCACTCTCTCCAAATGCAAGCTGACATCTCAGGTTATAATGCCAAGTTAAAATGTGTCAATCTTCTGCTTGCAACCTTTAATTCAGTGGGACGTAAGGAGCCATTATTTCAACCTCAATTTTTCCCTTTTCCAACTAGGACACAGATGTTCACCGTCTTTTAGTTTAAGTAATATATTTTAAAGTTTTGCTTGCATCAACCCCCCGTTTCCAGATGAGGGACCTCATGAACTCACTCCACACTACAGCCCATTACCAAGCAGCAGATAAAGTTAGCAACCAGCTAGCTGGGTGAGCATAGTTGGAGCATTTAGCAGCTAAAGCGCCAGATATTTCCCACAGGAGTTGGTGGAGACCAAAAGAGAACTACATCCCCCCCAGTGGCCCAAAAGATAAATTGGTGTAATCGATATTTTAGCCCAAACCCAAGGTGTCCACAGACATTCATACCTCTGTACTGTGTGTATCTTGTAGGACGTATCACTGTTTTTTAGACAAGACTAGAGTAAATTCTAGTTTTGGTCTGAGCTGTACACAGGCCTGTAAATTCAAGAGAGAAGAGAGGGGTGACCGTAACTGTAAGTATCTTCGGTGACTAACAAAACAAGTCATTTGAAGACATCCCTTTGGGCTCTGTGAATTTCCGGAGAGCATTTTGTTGAGCAAACAAATAATCAACAAACTTTCTAATCCTTTTGTCTTTTGGCCTAAAGCAAGATTTCAAGTTCTTGTTTTTGTTGCGTAGCCATGTCCCTCTCCCTGACATGTCTGCAGCTAAGAATACAAAATATTGATGATTTTGTACTGTGTATGTTGGCATCAGCAGCAGTGGGTCTCACCAGTTTGTAGTCTCTGTGCAGTTTGTTGTACTGAAACATGTTGCAGAGGACAGTTGAGGCTGCTCTGGCAGCTTTTAGACTCCCAGAACTAAAACAAGACACAGTGGAAGACGGTTAGAAACAAGCAGGAAATACCAAAGCCGAGGCAGGGTGGAGTAATAAACACTCTAGGAAGACATACGAATTAGCAAAATGTTGTATTTTTCCATGGCCAATGGCCAGAGGGGAGAGCAGTGACAGCTACAGAATGTGGAAAGTCATTGACAGCAAACAGAGGTCACAACTTACAAACTGAAAGATTGTATGGCCTAAAAAATATTGACCAATTATAAAGAGTGTGAAGTAAAGCTTTTTCCACTTTTCATAGAGTTAACATTCATGGTGAGTTAATAACTTTTACTCATCCTGCTTTCCATTCAGCTTTGTTTTCTCACTCGTCAACACTGATATGCAGAAGTCAGTCTTACCTGTTGTCATGGATTGTCTTGATGCCGATCAGTTTCGGCAGGCCGTTGAAGTACGAAATGTCACGGGCTGCCAAGGAACTGCTGGTGACCAGGTGATTGAGGGCTCCGCAGAGGTTGACCACCACCTCGCAGGACGGCGTTTTCTGAAGGCCATCACTGGGCAGCTTGGACACCAGAACGTTCACCATGTTCTTAGCTGTGAGGACAAAGATTGAGGGTGGTTGTCTCACAGGACGGTTTTCAGATAAAACCTCTGACCTTTGAAAAGTCCTCCTCTGTCGGTTTGGTTCGTTCAGAAGGCACTCTTTCAACAGCTCTTTCCTTTTGTAACGTTTAACATTTGGAAAGACCCATTATGCTGTTACGTTTGCATTCCACTCGGGAGATTATCATTTCAACACCTACAGTACTGTGTTGGCTACACATTATACAAAGGAGGAGTTCTAATTAGTATTAGCTGTGTCCCTTTGATGGGTCCAGCCACCGGGCCTAAGTTGACTCTCAGCCGGACATAAGTTGACTCCCTACTGGATCTAAGTTGACTCCCAGCCGGGCCTAAATGGACTCCCTGACCCTGCAGGGCCAAAGGAACTTTGTAATTTTTAATGTATTTATTGGGATGCTTTTCAAATTTAAATGTGTTAATTTGTCGGTGGACGAGCTATTCCTATTTCAGTGACAATCTGCTTCCCCTGAGTTTTGCTCAGCAGCCCTCAAATAGCAAATAGCTTACCAGTTTAAATATCCAATACTCACAAGATACACTAGTGATCTGTCTCCATAGAACTGAAGTGTAATTATGAACCACACACACGCGGACTGAGTTTCCAGCCCAAAGATGGCAGAAACACCTTCAGTAATCCTTGGCTGTGTCTTACCCATGTAGTCTTTGCTGGCGGAGTGTCTGGCCAGATTTCTCAGCAGGCCGGTCAGGGGCCTCAGCTCCATGTCACTGTTGGTGTCCAACAGATCCAGCAGGATGGGCAGCATCCTCTCCTGCTCCACCACCACACCGCTCAGCACTGAGGCCCACTGGCAGAGAGGGGCAAAAGATCACACGAGTCTGTACTGAGTTCTGTTGATTGTTTGCTGTCATTTTGGTTTACTTAAGGAAGAATCCAATTTTAAAAAATCTGACAATGTTATGATTTTAATTGTGGAATGTGAATATACATGCGTAGTTCACATTTCTGTGGCGTGTGAGATCCTACCCTGGCCTCTCCTGCAGTGATGTTCTGCAGGGCTCCTATGGCCGCCTCGCGGCAGTTGGAGCTGCTGGCGCTGTTCTGCAGAACAAGCTTGTACAGCGCCACCACATTAGGGTGCCACAGCCACTCAGCCCCCTTAGGCTGACGGGACACCTCGGACAGTATGGACAGATTCTGGTTACGCTGTGGGGGAGGAGGTGAAGGAGAGATCAATATTATTCACCACTCTCACCGAGTTAAATCTTTTAACCAACCAACAGTCCTGATCAACACAACCAAATATTCATTGATTTTCAGAATTGTACAGATTGTTTTTTATGACACAATACAAATTTGACAAAATTTGCTGCAAGCAAAACCATAGAAATGGTATTTTTTTGTCTAGATCTGTGCAAAAAGGATCGATTGAAGGTATAGTTTGACTGGAGAAGTTTCGATACTACTAGCTACTGAGCTATTTCGGTTGATACCTCAAAGGTATCGCGTACAGATACCCAGCCCTTGATGCACAACACAAGGGTTACGCTAATGTTAGCTGATGTTTCCAACTGACTCATTTTAAAATGAGAATCTTGTAAAATGGGCCTTAAATATGCACTCAATCGCTACATACAGGACATCGTGCTAATGCTAAAGCTACATGCCCCATGCAAAAAGTCACCATCCTCAACAGTTGCTGACTCATGTAGAAGCCTTTGTAAAACAAATAATAAGAGCACTGTTCTTGTATTGCTGTCCTAGTATACTAAGCATGATAAGGCACCATGACAACCCTGTTTGGCTGCATAGCTTATATACTTGGACAAAAGAGACTGAGGTGAGATTTATTCATCACATTTCAAACCGTAGGTTTCAATGAGAACGTTAGCACATGAACAGACAAACATACTGCTTTCTCTTGTGCTTTTGGTTTTGGGAAAGCTTAACAAGACACCGCCCTCCGAACTCTTTAAATGCAGAGTATCACTCTCAGTACAGCCCCCATGCGCATTGCGTCAGTTTGTGGGGGGAAATAAAAAGCTTGGCAGTCCAGCAGTGCCAGTTACCGTTGCTAAGCTATGATAGTACAATCACTGCTCCGGGGAGGGGCTTAGCACACGGTACATTTGGCCATTGGGTTTTCAAGATATTCTGTCTCGGACTAAAGGCAGGTCACAGCAGTCTAGTCAGGAGTTAAGATATCTGTGACTATACAGATCACTGTCCTCAGGTCCCGCTAAAGATATAAATCCTCCCTGTTCAGCCTCTATGTAAACTGGCTAATGATCTGCTCTAAACAACATGGAAAAGCATGTCTTATATTTAAACAGGTACTCTAAGGGTGACTATGAAAACATACACGTGACAGTGGGCCTCTCCATACTCCATACATACTCTCCGCAAGCATCTGCTGCTTGCCGTTGAAATGAGTAATGTGATCTGCCGATTGGGTGTGTCACACTGGAAACTGATCCTCCCTGAGGATCCGAGGCCACTTCTAGAGTTTCTATCTGCCGGGCCACTCATTATCTGGAGATTAATGAGATACCTGAGAGAGCCTTGACCTGCTGGATGTCACCGGCTTGACTGTTTCATACTCCAAAAGTGGAATATCTTTAAAATCACTTGTACGAAAATGACTCAATGTCTGATAATGATGGTGCATCTGACAAAGAGCGCGTGAGGTGAGGTAAGATGCATGTGCACGGGCAGTGTGGTCTGTATCTGGCTACATTGTTTGAACAAGACAGGCAGTTAAATGACCTGGATACACACAATCCCAGATCCCCAGTGGCAAAATAAGTTGGTCTGAAATGTAAACATTGAGTATGTTGTTGAGCGTGCGGGATAAAAAATGGTTGTATGGATGCTGTCTGTAGGACACGAAAGAGAATGAGATCGGTAAAGAATAAGCAGAAAACAGTAAAGCAGTCATAAAGATGTTTTCAATGTATATTATTCATAGATTACAGCCCTCATTAACATGTATAACTTTTTCATTTTTTTTATTTCGATGGAAAGCATTGGCCAATCACAAGCAGACAGCAGGATTAGCAGTGACATCCCTTAGAGGGATGTGGTGGGTGTGGCAGACATGCTGACATATTATCCAACACGTTTCTGATTATATCAGCGTTGGATCTAAAAAGTTGATGCATTTGGGACAAACTTATAATCATGTTGATGGGTTAGTAATGCAAGTACAAAATTAAATCAATACATAAATATATAAAATGTAAAAAAACAGAAGCAAGACAACTCTTTTGGTAAAATCACATAATGTTGGATTTGCATGCATTTAACTGCTTTAGCATCACTGACTGAATATAACCAATCTGATCATTTCTATAAAAAATTCTAGTGACATGAATTGCCATTAACTCTTTTCTTAGAGTTAATTGATTATTAAATACTTTGTTAGACTTTTGATGCAGTATTAATAGATGTTTTTGTGGCCACTAAGGGAAACGGAACAACATTGACATATTATCACCTTCTAAAGTTGTTACGTAGAACATCAACAGCAAATGGTTGTCTATTATTTACTCATCTTGCTGCAGACACAGAGCATCATCAGCATTGAATTTGTGTTTCCGGTGTGTAATTTCATGACGTTTGATGAATCTTACCTCTGTGTTTTTTTTGTTGTGCAGAGTGAAGCAGCCGATGGCCTCGCCCTTCCCAGAGGCAGAGGCTCTCGTTGGGCCCTCCAGACGGAGTCGGACTGAGGGAGGAAGCTCCATGTACAGCTGGTAGGACAGATTCCTCATCACACACAGTGAATTCTCCAAACCCTAAACATGAAGACAGACGGAGAGAAGAGACAAACGGGGGCAGAAGTGGAAAATAAATAACCAACCGACCTGAGTGGACGCTGAAACATGTAAACTGCACAACTGGTAGAATAAGCTCAGAAGCTCATACTCAGGCATTGAAACATTTGTTTTGAAGTGGGGTTGTATGAGGTACTCATGCATAATCAGTGTACTTCCTACAGTAGATGCGGTCGGCACGCCCCCAGTTCAGAGAGACAGACAGGAGTACCAGCACGGGAGCAAAGCAATCGAAGCGAATCAACATCAGTTGGAGCGTACACTATATTTAGAACATTTTCACAGCTTTACCTTGCCGTCAGACAGCTGTACAGTCTATGTTTTTATGGGGAACTGTAACCGTGGTTTTTACCCTGTTTCCAGTCAGTGAAAGTCAACCGTAACATTTTGTTCGCCTAAGAACGTCTTGTTCAGCGCTCAATAGTAGTTCCACCCTCTCGTGTCACTTCTGGATATATAACAAAATGGCGACAGCATAAATGCCAAACTCGAGTCTTCAAAACCGTAGTCCACAAAACACTGTGACTACTTCCACTTCTTACAGTGAATACTAGACTACATTAACCTTTTCCCGCTTCTCAACATTGTTCAAATTTTGGTGAAGAATTGAGATGAAGTGGGACATTTCCAGAACAGCCACCTTGTTTTCTCCCTTTTAAAACCGAGGACATCCCCCATGGAATGTTCGTCCAATCAGATGCAAGGGTTCATGTTGATGTTTAATAGAAGCAGTGCGTTTATCAATCATCTGCACGGTGGTTAAAAGTTTTTCCAAGTATTTCCCAAGAAATTGTGGGTCTGTTTCCTGTTCACAGTGCTCCTTAGTCAACGCCTGATGAAACGAGCCAAACCACAATGAGTGGGGAAGAATGTAAGAGGAACAGTCGGTGACAAGTCACACAAGGACTTACTGTGTAGTCAGAATCAGAATCCCCTTTATTGGCAAAGTACATGTGCAAATACAAAGAATTGTCTCTGTGCTGTAGAGCTCCATTGTCCAAAAACTATTAAAAACATTCAGTGAGCCACAACCTTGCACTGTGTGCATAACTACACACATTGTAGTTTATATTGACTCAACCTCACATATACCGTCCTCACTACAGCTGCAAATTTGGATTAAACTTGTTTTCTCCCGATTTAGAAACAGTTGCTAAAAACAACATTTTCAAGCGGTTTTAGGAAATTACTGAGAATTACTGAAAATATATTGGTGAGCTTTTAAAGATTCACATCCTCAGTAGTGTAGTATCTGTAGTATCAGTATCAGGCAGATCCCTACATATTTTAATGAATCGGTATCGGCTAAAATAAAGTGGATCAAATTGCGTTCCTTTCATCTCTGAGCTCTGCTATTCTGTCCACTGTGAGTGGAGGTGAAGTTTTTCTAAGTGCTCCGGTACGACTAACTCTGAGTTCAGACACAGAGGTTGGCAAATTACACGGATCCACTAAACTCCGACACTACAAGGAGCGGTCTCCAAAAGATTCTGATAGCAGCTCCTTGTTTTTAGGTGTCGCTGACGGTGGCAGGTCATATCAGCTGACGCTAATCAACATTGATTCTGTGAGTAACTTGATGACGGGACAAAATGAAACCGGTCTGTTGGGGTTAAAGTGCTTTCTGCAGCCGGAGTCTTTACTTGACCAAAGATTGTTTGTGAGGGAAGTTCCCCCACTCTGTAACACCACTGCACCATGTGAGTGGACTGAGTGGACTTTCTGTCTGTCTTCTGAGACGTCATCTCGCAAGATGATTGAACCACGTCAATTTCTGGAGTTGCATTCTCCCAGTAAATCTTTCAAAAATACTATATTGACAATTTAAGGTGATCAACTTTATAGTACTGAACCGGGACCTTGCGTATTTGGATCTAGTAAGTACGGTTTGTCAAATTTATTAGTGGTAGCTATTATATCACTGTGTCAGAAATATATGTAGTCAACATTTATCTGTATCTGATTGGACTCGGCAGGTTACCAATATTGAAGGACTTGGATCGGGATCGGGATCCCTTGTAGGAACCAATGGGCTTGGGGTTGAGTCCAATGGAAAAGGTAGGGTAGTCAGAAAGTGTTGAGAACATAATTAAACTTCACATTGTTGGTTTTGGTCTTGGGTCCTTCGTTGACAATAAGAAAAGCATATAAAAACACATTTCTTATTCTTTAACATAAATACGTTATTAAATATCCTAAGATGCCGTAAAGTCTTTCATTTGGTGTAATCTTGGCTTTTTGGTCTCCAGCTCTGGTGGCTGGTGCTCATAGCTACTGATGTTTTGAAGGGTGCCGTAGCCATAACGACCATTGTGATTTTCTAATCAGACATTGTTATTTACGGTGTGTGAAAATGTCACAGGCTATAGCGGTGCACGTCGGGGTTACCTTGTCGTCTGCCCTCTCCTCTTGTTGAATGTAGGACACCAGGGAGTCCACCAGGCCTCGCATGTCTCTCATCTTCTGCCTCGTCCTCTCGTTCACTGAGCTCAGGTTCCTATGCACACAAACACACAGATAGAGACATAAACCCACGAGGCTATCCGAACGTAACACAGTAAAGCTGTCTTACTGGAATTCATCTCGGAGGGATTTTATGAATCTCTTCTAAGACCCTTCGGTAGTACCTTCACCACTTTGAAAATAAAAGGTACTTTTTGGATCTTACTGCACTTGCATGTAATTCTATCTCTTTCTATCTCTAAATTCAGAGACTGCATTCAGTGAAGTCAGCACAAAGCGACCCTCTATTCAAATGTACCTTTGAGGGGAGGAGCTTTAATGAATCAAGGACTGGTCCAATAAATTATGCTGCCGTTTTGTTCCCAATAGAAGCAACCCATTGCTGCCCCTATTGTCAACTGTGATTTGTGCCTCTGCCTAGCCAGCTACTCCATAGCAACGGCAGTCGAGGTTCATGGATTCTAGTATTTAGTGCCATTCAGCAGACCAAACTGAGGGAAACAACATGGAGGAGCATTAGAACATTGGTTTTTGGAGTATCATTGTTACTCTTCAATCTACACTAGCAGATCCTCAGACTTTTCATCTAGCTCCATCGTCACGTCAAGCTTTTGATTTCTCAATACTTTGATTGATGACAAATAACTGCTAAACATGACTCTCCCATCAGCCTCTGAAGGTGGCAGACTACGCCATCGGGAAGTTAGGAAAGACCTACGAATAATTCCAAGCTGAACCGGCCGGGGGTCATAGATTTTTTATTTATTTTATTTCTGAAGTCAGTTGTTAGTGTATGGTCCTCGCAGACAGCACAGAGCCTGTCAGACTGGGCCAGTCTAACACTTTTAATATTTAGGGGGGATACGAGCGGTTCCTCCCAGTTTGGATCGAGCCTCGTTTTTGTTGTAATCTAATTGCCGTTTTCATCCTGAACGTGACAAACTGTGACTACTAGTGTTTCGGCCCGCCTCAGCTTGTCCGACCGGTCTTGTTTTGATTTAGAGCAGTGATGACGTGTTTGTACAAACTGAGGAGGCAGGTGTCAGCAAGACATCCTAGAGTTTTCCCAAAGGTCTTCAGCATCATCTACCACAAAAACTGTATTAGTGCTAAAATTACTGCCAAAAGATTTGCGTCTCGCATAAAAGGCTTGTCCCTCTCAAAGTCCCGGTGCGTCTCTGAGCCTTGGCTATACTTTGTGTACAGTGCTAATTGGCAAATTGGACAAATTGAAACTTTTGGTATGATGACACTGTCTAACCCACAGTGTTGAATCAGAGCCAGTGTTAGACACCAGGTACTGGGTTGAGCAGGCTCTCCCGTGGAGTCACCTGAGGCAGCCACTGGTGTTGTAGAAAATGTCTCTCTCAGGTGGACTCAGTGGGACGCTGCTGCACAGAGGAATCAGTACTTTCTCCGTCAGCTCTGACAAAGCTTCTTTGGACAGCTTCTCCTTCAGGTTGTCTCTGGAGGACAGATTCCACAGGACACCTGCAGTCAAAAACAAACTGGTTTTTATTCAGCTGTCTGAATACCTGAGTATTTTGAACCAGTATTATATGGATAGAGAGGACTCAGTTGCGACGCCTGGATTACAGGTGTACATCAATGCACGGACATAAGGTGATATCGGGGTTCGAACCAGTCTGAGGTCAAAGACCAGTACTACCTGTGATGGTCTTCCGAAGCTCCTCGTCAGGTTTGTCGAGGATGCTGACGAGGTGCATCACTCCACCGGCGTCTATGAGTGCCGCCTTGTTGTCAGTGTTCTCGTAGATGAGGTTCCGCGCGGCGCCGGTGGCAAAACACTGCACTTCTTGGTTGTCACTGGAGAAGAGCTGAACTAGAGCTGGAACGCCATGCAGAACACGGACCTGAGAGAGAGAGAGAGAGAGAGAGAGAGAGAGAGAGAGAGAGAGAGAG